ACAGTAGTACAGGCTGAGGATGCCTAAGCTGAAAACCTAAAATCGGAATGTTTTTGATTACTGAAAAGACCCTCAAAAAGCTCAAGTTTTAGATGATTTTGTAAATGTATGCACATAGTCCAACATCTGAGAAATACCAAAATTTGAAACACTTCTGGTCCCAAGTATTTTGGATAAAGGCCCTCAATTGTATGCTTCCTCAAATGCTAGGAAAAAATTCTATTGTCCTGGACAAATTCATTGTCCTTAACTTCTTCCTTAAATGGAGAGTCTCTGGCAGCCCAGGTATTTTGCAATTACAGGCTACTTCCCTTTTTTGAGCAGTGCATATGGGCTGACAGGTATCAGGGCTGCTTCCAAGAGCACTTCAGAAGAGGAGTTCTGACATACATGGACACACCATTGCTTGGTTGTGTCATGTCTTTGGCTCAGGTGTCAGCTGTTACTGCAACAATGTATTGGAAAAAACCAATTTAAAAATAGGAAACATTAGCTCAGTGTCAGGGACATGTTTGTAATCCCAGCACTCTGGGAGATTGAGGCCAGGAGGATTGTAAGTGTGAGCTCAGCCTAGGCAATTTATCAGTTTATTGATACCTTCCTAGTCTCAAAAAAATAAATCAAAGGAAAAATTTGTTTAAGTTCATCATCTTGAAATCTTCAGTTCATGGCATTCGGCTCTGTGGCTTTTTTGGACATGTGGCAGAGCAGCACATCATGGCAAAAGTGTGTGGCAGAAAAAATCTATTGGTCTTCTGTCCAGGAAAGGAGACCAGTTTTCCACAACCACCTCAAAATCACCTTTGAGAACATGCATTCCCACCCCCGCAAAGACCTAAACTCCCTCGTAGGCCCTGCCCCTTAACCACCTAATCATCTTTGAATAGTGTCACTTGGTAGGGACCAAGACTTTTTTTTTGTAACCCATGGGCCTTTAGGAAACATCCAAAATCCAAAGTATAGCACACAGTTTTTCACACTTTCTGAGCAACAGTGTTTTCACTGATGAAAATAATACTATTAGAGCACTGTTGAGAGGATTAAATAGGTGATGGTTAGAAAGAACAACCACATAACAACAGCTCACACGTACAGAGGCTAAGTGTTATATGTTGAGAATGGTGCAAGATGTCGTTTTGTGTTTAATCTAGGAATATTATCTCCTTTTTCACTGTACAATGGGACACTGAAGTACAGTTAGGATTTGAACTCTGAGTTTGATTCTACCATGCTCTGCTGCCTCAAAATTATGTTCTGTGAAGTGACTCCCTATACATTCTTGCACACTTCTCTATGTTTTCTGTTCTTGGACTTCCATTTAGCTTGAGAAAGGGGAAATCCCCCCGCCCAGACATCACCAGGTCTCCAAGCAAAGATCCACTGATCATTTTTGCTGACCCAACCTGTTGTGTTCCTGGACTGCAAGTTCCCTTTTCTTTTCTCCTTTACCCAATTCATTGTCCAGGCTGCATGGTGAGGGTCAGCATCTGTCCGACAGTACATGGCCTGGGGCCCTAGTGAATGCAGACCTTTCTTTCCTTCACTTTCCAACTTAAATAGCAGGATTTATAATGAGGCAGCCTTTAGTTCTAATTAGCTTCATTTGGAGTCACTTAGAACCACACTATGTCTGTGGATGTACAGAGGTGAAGTTTCTCTTCTCCTTTGTGTACTTCTTTCTTTCTCTTTCCATTCCTATTCTTTGCTCCTCTCTATTGTGGTTTAACTGTCAAAGGATGGGGTGCAGACAAGGGCACTGCCAATGGGGGAGCAGAGCTTTCTTTTTCCAGGATACCATCACAAAGGACTGCTAACAACACTTGCTTTAGGTAGAATGCCTTACTGTACATGAGCCCTTAGCACTAGGGAGAGAGTTAACATGGAAGGAATGATAGAGGCTGTCGAGATCACAAGCTTTGAAATCACATTCTGGGTCAGAATTTTTGCAACTAATGATTCATATGCATCTCTTACTTTTGCTTTGGAGAATTTCTCACTTTATCTAAGAAATATCCTATGATAGGAAAGCTGCTTATTTCTCCCTGGCCACAAGTCACTGTCCTTTAGAATGGCGAGTTGTTTAGAACTGTGCCTATTCTGTGATATTCTGTCTATCACACTAGCAGGAGACAAAAAGACCACTTCGTGTGTGCTGGCGTTCCACCAGCCTAAGGGTGGTTCTGTGCCATCCAGAGACACTACCTGAACATTTCCAAGGAATCCAACTCTGTGTCATCCAGAGACACTACCTGAACATTTCCAAGAAATCCAGTTCCATAGATTTCCACCATCTAGTATCCATTCATAATGCCATATTGTCGTAAAATGGGAAATTTTACTTCTTGGTGGAGGAAACTTGGGGCAGAGATTGTACAGGATTTCTAAGATATAATCCATTCATGCACATTAACGTATAACAAGTTAGGCCACGATGGAAGGAAATCAAGACGTGGGCAATTTAAAGATGAAAGTTTATCTAAAGTAGAAAGGACAGCCAGTAGAACAGAGTTGGTTGCACTCATTCCAAGAGAAAAGAGGAGAAGGAAAAGGACCTACCTCTTCTCTTCAACCTCTTCCATTTCCAGATCATCAGGCAGAACTTAAACTCATGAGGGGCAAGTGACTTTGGTGGGGTCATTTAGCTAGCCAGGACTAGCAACGAATGTAAGACTGTGAACCACATGCCTAACACATCTTCCTTTGGCTCACTGATTCTTCAGTTATTCCTCATCAGGCATTTACATGGTAATGTTACATGGCAGGCACACTGTACCTCCTTCTCCTCCTCTTCTTTTTGTCTTTTTGAGACAAGATCTTGCTGTGCAGTTCAGGATGGACTGAGCTCACTTTATAGCCCAGGCTGGTTTTGAACTTGCAATAATCTTCTTTCCTCAGTCTCCCAAATGCCAGGATTATAGGTATGTGCCACCATGGCTGGTTCACCATGCTCCTGTGTGGTGTTCATATATGTGTGTACTTGGATGCCATGTATGCAATCTCTATATACTGTGTACATATACTCTGGCTGCTTGTGGATCCCCTTGGCCCATTCTGCCCTGTAACCCCAGAAAGAATCTCCAGCTGGGGTTCAGTTGCCCCTTTATGCCTAGGTTCTTTGCTCAGGCACCTTCTCAGAATCCCAGCTAGACAGAAAAGTGATTCTGATGTCAGACACAGTTCCCTAGGTGGGAAACACAGTGCAGAGAGGCACGTTAGCAATGCCTGAGAAATGGTGATGTTTAATATTTCATGACGACTTACAGTTCATGATTCATGAAGGGGTCTCATAAATACTCCCTCATCTGATTCTCACGTAGGTCTAAAAGCAGATTTTATTATTCTAGTTCTTTCCAGATACACAGAGAGGTTAATGGGCTTGCTTGCTCAAGGTAAGTCACTTGGAGACTTGGATTCTGCTTCTGTCTCTAGAAGGATCTAGTAGGGAACTTCTTCTTCTCTCTCATCCCTGTGCTCCTTCCTCAATCCTTGATTATCTTTGTGCTTCCAGGAGGGGACAGCTATACTACAGAACTGGTGAGGTGATGATAATTTTTATTCCCTATGACTTAGGTAGTGCCATTGTCTTTGAAGACGCAGGGGATATTTGCAGAGTACACTCTTGACCTCCATCTTCGCTTCTTGCCTAGGAGGAAGTGACTCTGCCTTCCACTCCCAGGCCTGTGCTGACCACACTTCTGACCCCTCCAACTTGTCTGTCTTCTCCTCAGATTAATAACACCATCCACCACCTCAGGGTTGAGCATGATATCTTGTACACAGTCAGTACTAAATAAGTTCCACTTGAAAATAGCAAATATTCTTATTAGGAGAGCCTTGCCTGTGTCTGAAATGGAAACCCGCCCCCCATGCCTGCCTCCCTGCGGATACAAGTGTCTTTGGGTGAGAGGAAAGAGAAAAGAGACACTGGCTTTTGTGCCTGGTCCACCTTGGCATGCTCCCAAGAAGTCCTATCTCAGGATGTTCTTTGGAGTTTATTGGGACCTGTGTGGCCACAGGTCAAACCTCATTCTCTGATAATTTGTATCAGCTGAGGTTTTATCCTCTCCCATTTGTTCCTCTGTCTTACACTCACTTACTCTACTAGCTGGAGCATGGAGGCCAGCAGGAATGGACCTGGTCTAGGATGTGTCCAGCCAGACCTTGGTTCTGCATCTTCTTCAAAGACAGGGGCCTAACCCGGACTAGAATTAGGTTTCTTTAGAAGTACCCGCTCTTCCTATGACTGCAAGCTCGGAGACCAGTATTTCCACACTGGGAGTTAGAGCCATCCTCCCTCCAATCTCCTCTGCCACGAAGTCTCTGGGGATTCTGGCCAACACCCTAGGAAAAGGTCTAGCTCTCCTAGAGACAGGTACCAGTCTTGTCACCGTGGCACTGCAAGTCGCAGGGAAGCAGGTGAGGATGGAGGCAGCCTCCCTCTTAATGCACCCTGTCCTCTCCCTGGATCCCTTTGAGTTTATTTATATAAAAATATACTCAGGGGCCTAATTACTGAAAGGTCCATGTAACAAAACTTTACTAGAAAAATCAGAAGCTCTGGAGAAGAGGCATGTATGACTCACAGGACAGCGCTAAGGACATACTTCACGTTCGTCATACCCTCGTTCCCTCTGCTCCCTCCTAGCCAGCAGCCTCGCACTCCAGCCCCACGAGGAGATCTTTCCTCCTGGCCATGGCCCTGCTTCCCACAAGCGACAGCCCCTCTCCCAATTCACAGCAGCAGGTTTTCTAGCTGAATTACTTGGTAACTTTCGCATGTCTCCTTCTTCTCTCTGAGTTGCCTTAGCGAAGGACTAAGATTTCTCCTTGCCCTCGTCCTGTGCCCCAAACCCCGACCCTCAGCGCCAGGTCCTTCGAACCACCTAGACTCCTTGCGTCCTTCCCTTTAAGGGCCGCCCCTCCCAGGCCCCGCCCACCACCAGGGCCCGCCCAGTGACCCTCCCCTTTAAGGACCGGCCCCGGACGCAGACGAGCCTGTGACGCGGCCACCGGCCCGGGGCTGGGTACTTCGTCGCGCGGCCGCTTTCCCCCGGCCGGGCCCCCGCCTTCGCGCGTTCCCCGGAGTGCCAGGCCCCCGGGGGGCGGGGAGGGAGCCGGGCCGGTGGGCGCCGGCCAGCGGCGCGCGGCGGGACCCACGGAGCCCAGCGACCCGCCGAGCCTGGAGCCGGGCCGGGGCGGGGGAGCCGGCTCCGGCCCGGGGCGCACTTCGCCGCTGAGCGGAGGGTGGCGGGGACCCCGTCCCGCACCGGAGCAGGGGACGGCCGCCGGCCCGCCCGCCTCCACGGCCCCGGGCATCATGCTGTCCAACGCACAGGGTCAATCGCCGCCGGCGCCCTTCCCCGCCCCACCGCCACCGCCGCCGCCGCTGCCGCAGCCCCCTGCCCCAGCCGCGCCGCACCCCCCGGCCCAGCCGCCGCCGCCCCCTCAGCAGTTCCCGCAGTTCCACGTCAAGTCGACCCTGCAGATCAAAAAGAACGCCATTATCGACGACTACAAGGTCACCAGCCAGGTCCTGGGGCTGGGCATCAACGGGAAAGTTTTGCAGATCTTCAACAAGAGGACGCAGGAGAAATTCGCCCTGAAAGTAGGTGTGGGGCTTGGGAAGGGGCGGGGCCGGGCCGGCTGGGGCGCCCGGGGTCCGGCGGCGGACGGGGAGGTCGGTCCAAGTTTCCGGCGCGCTCGGGCCACGCGCGGAGACCCGGGGACTGGGACGCGGAGGGCTCTGCCATCTTGGCGCCTGAGCGCGTCCCGGGGACGTGTTCTCCATCCTCTCCGCCCTCTTTTCTTCCTTTCTGCGGGCACAAAAGGCCCATTACTCATTGAACGGGTTGGTCGGTCGGTTTGGAGAAGTCGGAGCTCCGAGGTTTATTTCGCCTCGCTCCTTATTTGGGAGCCGGAATGTGTGATTTCACTTCCCTGGGCCTCGCGAGGGCGGCCGCTCCGGCCCGGAGGCGCAAAGCTGGAGATTCCGCGGGACGCCGGCGTCCCCCCCCTTCCCCCGGCCTGCGCGGGGGAGGATTGTTGTGATTCGCGCGCGGGCCTCCCTTGCAGCGCCCGCCCACCTCCAGATGGGCGGCCCGCCGGCCCCGCGAGCTGACTGCTGTCTCCATAAGCTTCATTGATCCCTGCAGGCCAGGTCTCCGCCAACTGGAGACAGCCACTTTGGTCCTGGGTGCGGGCCGCTGATGGACAACAGGAGCAACGCTATTCTTGGCCTGGGGAAACCCAGCATTTTTTTCCCCCTAACTTTCTTTCTTGAGTGGGTGTGACAGGGGAGCATGACGATTTAAGTGACCACACCACTTCAGAAGTTAAACACAATAGACTGCTGCATTGGAATGGGTCCCAGATGAAGTCTGAGCAAGTCGTTCAGGGTCACCAGAAAGGTTTTCTTCCTAGAAGTGTTTCAGGTCAAACCACATCCCTAAAGGTGACAGAGTAGGTTTGTTTCCCCTGAGTTGCTTTAATGATTGGAGGAGGAGAGAAATACTTCCTGTGTTATGTTTTTTCTCTTCCTCTTTGGTCTGCACAGCTGGCTGGATTTCAATTATCAAATACTAAAGTAAGCTATGATTTACTTTAAGGCCCACTTACTGTGGGCCTATTGGCATATGCAGTCAAATGTATAAAACCTGGTACTTTGCGATAGGGCAAGCGTGTCTAGTTTCTGGATTTTAAGAACTCTGAAATTGTTTTCATTATGCCTTTACTCTCAGTGCTGTCAGATTTCTTTAGTTTCTTCTATAAGTCCCTGCCATGGGATCTCTGTGGTTGCCTTGGACTGTTGCAGAGGGAATTTATCAGTGTCTTGAACACTAGCATTTATGCCTTTGACCTTCTGTTCCATGATGAGGGACAGCGTGGGAGGAGGTGTCCTGTTGCTTGACCTTGTGGGTTGGAGGTGAGTGAATACAGTTTGCCCACAGTTGCTCTGCACCCTTGAGGAAGTGACAGACGCGCTTTCCAGGAGTGTTTTCTGTCTCTTCTGGGATGCCATCTGCGTTTGCCTGTCAGCAGTGGCTGTTGTTGCTCTTGGATAGTTGGAGTATAAAGACTAAAGAACAAAAATTCTCAACATCTCCGTATTCTGTTCAGTACACATGTACACACACAGATGTACGAACACCATAATCCAGAATGTTTTTGGGTGGCAGTTCAAGTTTCTGTCATAATTAAGAGGACAGAGACTTGAGTATTTTTCTCCTTTGAATAGTTTTAACAGAAAGAATCCAGCAGTATGTTAAACAGCACTTAGTTTATCCTTGCCTGCTTAGAAGTGGGTGATGACTGAAGTCAGTCTGTTTTGACAGGCAGCTTGTTCCCAGCTGAGCAGTTGACTCAGCTGTTAAATTGTAGATTTCCTACACATCTTTGTGTTAAAATTTAATAATAGAGGAAGAAAGGAGGGACAAGGGATTTGGTGACGGACAGCACTGTCAACAACACTTTCATATCCAAATATTGGCTAAGACATAATTATAGCTTTGCAGGAATCATGTTCAAAGGATCCTCCTGTTCCAGAGACATGCACCAGAGAGACTTCCTGATCTTGAATTTTGATTAACTTCAGGTGCTGAGTAGTGAAATGATTTTCAAAAGTAGGGGCCTTTTGATTATAAAGCAAGGGAGGAAGTTGTCAGGCAGGCAGGATTGATGACCCCATTGGGAAGATGCTTGAGTAAAAGGGAAGCGACCTGTCCTCTGTGCTGAGCTGTTCCTGAGGGGCAGGAAGTCTGCTTTCTTGTGGCTGTAACTTTGTTGGAAGTGGTGGCTGCCCAAGTGTTCTACTTGCTTTCTGTGGTCTTGTGACCTATTTGTCCTGTTCAGTAAAGTCAGTGTCTTATGAATGGTCCCAACTCACTCTGCTGCTCTTCGGCTGTCGTCCTGCAGAGCTGGGTTAGAAATGCTTTTGGTGAGTGCTATGACCCCATCTCATCTCTCCTGCACAGTTCTGAGTCATGCTCAGAAGGAACTTCCAGGCAGAGTTGGAAGAGACTTGAGTGATCACCTCATTTTGCAGATGAGAAAGCCATGGCCAGAGTGAAGAAGTGTCTTACTGTGGGTAAAACAGCCCTGCATTTGGCAGAGGCAGGATTAGAATCCAAGTTGCCCTGCTCCTCCTCTGAGGCTTCTCTGTTTCCTGATACTGACAGGCAGAGGCTGGTGCTGCCCCCATAGGGCTTCTCTGACCCCAGGCTGTCTTTTGGGTATCTGCCACCTTCTAGTCATATCCCCAAAGCAGCAGTTCCATGAGTTTTAGATCTGTAGTGACAAGCTTATTTAGCTCCCTTCTCCATTTCTTAGGGAGCATTTGATAGAAATATTATTTGTAGAAGAATATGGTAATTCTGTTATTGCTTTGGACCAGACTCCTAGTCTTGACTCTTTTATGTTTAATTGATTGTATTTCCCATGGAGTCTCTTAGCTGCTTTTTGCCTCTCTGTATCATGGTAACTTTCAGATATTAGCTGAACAAATTTAATTAAAGTTTGTACTGTTGTCCTGCTCTGCTATGCAACACTGATTTGTTGAAGCATGTTACTGCTTTACAAAACATGGAATGTTGTCATAACTTATCTCTGTTTATCTTTCCACTTCCTAGTCTAGAGGAAACAGTTTCCTGTAGTTTCTTCTTTCCTTTCTCCAGCAGGCCTCCTCCATTCATGTGCCTCTGTGATGTAGTTTCCTTTGGTGTCACCAAGGGAGGATTATTAGACCCTCGCTTGGTTGGTCTGGACCCTGTCGGAGGGGAATAGTCCTCACATCCTCCCTCCACCCCAGGCACTGCCCTATTCCATACAGCTTATCTTGCACACCTGAGAGATTGAAACCAGGTAATACACCTGAGTGAGAGGCAGTGTCTCAGGTTGAGGTTTGCTAGTGGTACGACAGCATGATGAAGTCACCCTGACCAAGCCAGCCTCTTCTGTCCAGTATGGTTCTGAGGAGTTAACGGTTTGCTGAGCACTTGCCATATTTTTTTCCTGTATAAAATCACCTATAAAATTTTGGGGTGTCAAGGAACCTATCTGGAGAAGGCAACATGAGCAAATGTAGTCAAGGCTGCCCCATTGAATGTGCTTGCCACTACCTAGATGTGGCTGCTAAATTAGAATTAATAACCATGGAGGAATGAAACTAACAAATTCACCTGCTGGCCACATTTTCATGGGTTGTGGAGCTGCATGTGTAGAGGCTGCTGGATGGGGCTGTGTGGGGGGGTGTGGATGAAGGCGAATGTATAGAGCAGAGGGAAGGAGTAGGAGAGGCAGGCAGTGGGGCCCAGAAATGAACCTACCTCGTGTTTGTGTTGAAGCAAGTTTTATAATGTTGGAGGGACTTGAGGATGTTACAAAGAAAGATTAGGCATGGCTAAAGTGGGGTTTATGGATTTTTGAAGGAAGGGCCGGTTTCTGCTTTCAGAGACCGTCCTTGTGAGCAATTGCTCCATGTGTGCCGTGCTGGCCTTGGCCCCAACTAGTCAGCCGCAGCAGGACTTCTGACATCACTGAGGCAGTATCGAAGCTGGATTGGCTCATGGTCCTTTTTCACTTTTGAATTTTGGGTTTCAGTAGAGCTTGAAAAGATTCTGCAGCTAATATCTAGAATCTGTGGCTGATGGGAGGGGAAGAAAGAAAGTCCTCTCAGGGCCTCAGGGACATGTATTGGTGAGGTCTGGGAAACAATGGGCTTTTTATGGTGAGGATGAAAGTATTGGTATCCACTTCTGAGAGATGTTTTGATTGCTTGGCACCCTGAGGGACTGGACAGCTTTAGTTCCCAGTTTCTTCAAGAAGCAGGTGCCAGGGATTTGGAGGAATGTGGGGAGGAGCCACGCCTCAGGACTGCTGGAAACAGTCCCTGGCTGAATCCTGGGACTGTGGAATAACAGGGATGGGAGTGCTTTGTGCTGGCGGTACCATGCCACAGTAAGCAAGAGCACAGTACCAGTACCAGTGTCTGAGTTGTTCATGATTCCTGAGCTGCTTTGGTGTCTTCTGAGCTAGGAATCTCCCTGATGGCCCAGGATCTGTGGCATAGGAATTGCGCTTTGCTGTGTTTCTCTGTCTACCTCAGGCCCTTTCCTCATGTCTTCTCTGCACTGCAGCTTCCCGGAGGCTCGGTGTCTTGCTGGGAGGCTGGTGGGCTGGGCAGAGTGATTTGCTGGGCTGCAGCTTCTTTTGTTTATGGTTTAAGGCCCAGGAGTAAATGAGCCAGACTTCCAGCAGTCCAGAGCCAACAGTCCTTGCCATCTGCTTGTCTTCTTTCTCATAGAGGAAGAGACAGGGCCTGTGTAAAAAAGGTTCAGTGTTTTACTTAGGGTTGGCATCTGAGCCATATCTTAGCACCTGGTTCCCTGGACCCTTCTCTGATTTGGGTTTCTTGGGTTTTTAGTTGTCAGAGGGTGGTAGTATTGGGGCTGTAGACCTAGAAGTGCAAAGCCAAGGTCTAATAACCCATCAGGTAGGATCTTTTCACGGCAGTGGCCATTAGACGGGCATTAATAAGGAGAGCCATGCCACTGGACAGCTTAGTGTACACAAGGGATATGACCCAATCAAATTGTGGGTTCTTTTCTGGCC